TAACGCTCTCCAACGACCACGTACCTGTCCCTCGACCCCAACTTGGGGTTTCAACTCGCGAGCACGGTTTCGCGTGAAAAAGTGGGTCTCGACCGATTACTCGGGATCGAGAGAAGGAAAATTCTCTACCTTGTTCCGCAACTTTCCCTCCTTGGGCGAAGAATTCTTTGGGGAGGAGAAAATGATGCGATCGATGAAATTGACTGGATCAGACAGGTAAATTGGAATTACCTGTGAAGGAATAAATAGGACGGTGTGATCCATAAGTTAAAGGAGAGGAGTGTAAATGATAGGGATGAAAATTAATTTTGTATCTTGAAGCTTGATGGAAGTGTCCTACAATTTGTTTCGAATTTCTAATTAAATGGGAAATTGGCTCATTAAATCAATCCTTCCAAACCACATTTCCAAAATGGATGGAAATATCCGTCTCTTTAGAAACGCTTGTATATTTTTATAAAGCTTCGAATAATACGAAATTTATCAGATTTGCGCGGGGAAAAAAATCGGATCTCTCGCTCGAATTATTATTAACAGAATTTCCCGCAAAATGGGAACACGAATCGCAAACTTTTCATCGCGTGATTGATAATACGATAAAACGGGAAACGGGAGAAAGAGGAGGAGGAGGAAGAGCGCCGTTGATCGCATTTCCCTCTCCCCCCCAAAAAAAAACGCATTTCCTCTCGCGCGAAACAATGAAACAGGCCAGGATCGTTGATAACAACGGCGAGGGAAACCGTATTTACCGCGCGATGCGTCTTTTTTAAAAAAGACGCGAAATGGGGAATCACGCGTTTCCGGAAATGAATTTTGCCCCAAGTTTCGGCGAGGGGAACAACATCAAAGAGGTTAAACCAGCGTCTATGAAAAAGCGTATCCTTTCACCGTGGGCTGGGAATCTCATTTGCTCTGATACGCGTATGCATTTCTCTCGTGGCTCGATGTTAATCGTGGCCCGTTTCGCTTTCATTGCGCGTCAATAAGCGAGAGAGATTTCATCCCGCCCTTTTCTCGCGACCTCTTATTTTTCGTAATGGCATGGCCCCGGCCGAGTCTGTCGCGTGTCGCGTTGAAAAGATTCGCCACTTTTTTTCAAACGAGTTTTTTGAAAATTTTTTTTTTCTTCTTTTTTTTTTAAGTTATACATTCATTTATTGATCATTTAATAATAATTAGGAGTATAATGAGGAATGATTTATTGTAGAAAGTTTGGAAGTCAGGATGGTATGGTATACGTTTCATAAGTTAAAACTTGTTATCGAATTTGGAAAGTAAAGTTGAAGAAAGCTTTTGTCCTTAATTCTCTGCGATTTTATTATTTGTTAATGACGGTGCATTTTTTTTTTTTTTAGAATCGTTGAAGACAATTAACTCTGTTATCTTATTTTTGATTTTTGTAATTTGAAAAAATATATACAGAAAAACTCTCGTTGATTAAAACTCGAAATAAACTAATCTAGAGAGATATCTAGACAAATGGAGCATGGTTGAAACTTTTATCCATTTAACAACGTTAGTCTGTTTTTTAAGAAAAAGAAGAAATTCGGTTCCGAAAAATCGTTAGCGAAAAAGTTTCGAAGTAGGACAGGGAAATTAAAAGTCGAAAAGTCAATTACAAGTTATCATTATAGGCCGTGTTACGAAAGAAAAATCCAAGGATTCATTCCGATTAAAACAAGCATTACATCGTATACTCGTGTGTAAGAACAGAATTTATCGTAGCTCTCTCCGTTTCTTTTTTTTTTCCAAAGTAAAATGTTTCAACAGTTATCTCTTTGTTTAATAAATTCGAGATTCGTGCAACATGTGCATCGTGGATATTTCCTATTTTATGGCGATTGATACACGCGATATGAACTTTTTCCAAAAAACGTGAAAAATAAAAAAGAATTCTCCGTACGACCGATTTTCGTTTTCGCCCAAGAGTATCGGTATAAATGTCGTCGTTAGTATGCACAGCCATTTTGGATCTTGTTACATTTTTCATCGTTTTACGATTGTTTTTTGTAGTTTTGCACGGAAAATCAATATTGGAAATCCTCTTCGATTTTTGTCCACCTCTCGAATATATTAAAGACACAAAGTGAAAAATGGTTTAATCTGAACGATACGATTTCGTATAAACGAGATATAAAGATATAATTAGCTCGGATTTAACAGAGTGGAAGTTTTATCTTTGAATTTTATCCCGTAAAAAAATGATTAATTAAATTCGGTATATGATTCGTTATGGAAAAACGAGAATATAAATTTTGTCAGAATTATTAATGAGGAAAAAAGAAATTTGTTAATAAATTCGATAGTGATAAATACTCGAATTTCCATTAACGAATGTATTCGATCTTATATACTCGATTATTAATTAATCATAACGATAGGTGAAGATTGAATTTAATAAATATTCAAAAAAGAAGTTGAATATTTCATCGATGCTACCTCTTTGATCTATCTACACTAGACTTTCTAATAAAATTTCTATACCTACAAGGTTCTATGATAGATATACAATCAAGAAATGGTCAAATACCGTTGATTCTCCATGTAAAAATAAAAATTTGCTAGACTAATCGAGTTTAATAAATATATGTCTATTAGATGAATTTTCAAATTTATTTTTTTCGGTGTTCCCTTTCGAACGAACGATTATCGTTATCTATTTTCTCTGATAAAGGATAAAATCCTTTGATCGATCATTTACTCCAATCCAATATAATTTAGTTACATCGAAAATCAAATTTCAATAAAAAAAAACTTATTCCACACTTTCGAAATTTTCACTCACAAAAAATAAATCCCCCTTCTCCAAGCAATTCCTCGTAATTCAAAATCGAAACTAGAGAAAGGCCTATCTCAAAAATTTTAATTGAAAAACTATCCTTTAATCTCGAAAACAAAAGATTCGATCAAGACTTCTTTTTCGCGTTATCTACGCTATCAGTCGATCGGTCTTTCCACGAGTTTTCCAACGAGTAGAGAAACCTTTTAAACGATCTTACAGATGATTCCCGGCTCCTTAAAGTTGGTTCTCCCAAAACTTTCGAGACTTCTGTAAGTGCATTAACTTGAAGGCTGAGGGCTAAGATTTGTACATGTATTCTCCTCCTCCCTTCTCTTTGTGTATTTCGATACGTACATACAGAGATACACGCAACACCCGCATCAGGAGGGGTGAAAATACAAGAAACTCTCGACAGATGCATTCAGACGCGGTGGTTAAGCAAATATGGGCTACAGTGGATGCATAATCCACGTAAATTGCAACATCTATCGTGTCGATGCCTGGTAAGATGCCTGTTCTCGTTCCTCCTGGATGTTACTACATTTTACACGTGGTTACTTTTTAGGAAACGCGAGCGAGTACCATTTTGGGTGAAACGTGATACTCCCGAGAGGAGTATCGTGAATCTCGACAATTGTGCGACTTTCGAGAGTGTTGAGAGCGAGTTAAGATGTTTGGATAGGGAAGTTTATACGGGAAGGGATTCCAGGTTTGGGCAAAGTGTAGAATTTTTGAGGGAGGAGGATATTTTTTACGAAAAGAGTGTCTTTGCTTTGAAAATCTTTTTGTGGGATTATTATTTTGCTTCTTTTTTTCTTGTTCTTTATGGAAATATAAATTTTTGTTGGAAAAATATATTTTTGTATAATATCTTTTAAAAAAAATGTAGGGAGAATATTTTTTGTTTGGTGAACAAAGGAAGATTTTTAAGAAGGAAGAAAGAAATTTTTTGAACAAAGGAATACGTTTCTTATAAAAAGGAACAAAAGTTTTTGAAATAGAGATTTTTCTTTTATCAAAACAACTTGTTTAAAAAGAAGGAAGGAAACTCTCTTTTGAGAGAAATAAATCTCTACAAAGTTCAATCATTAATTACATCGTTATTAGTGAGGATCTGTTAAAATAAGCGTTTATTTATTTATTGTTTTTAAAATATTATTTTCAAATCGTTTCGAAACTAACGAGAATTCAAACTTTTCCATCCGTGAATCGGTTTAATTTTATATTCCGTACCGAATCCCCCAAATTTAACGACGTTTCACAGAGTTTAATTTTACAAAATTTCCAACTGTTTGAAAATTCAGGGGAATAGGGACAATTGGTCGATTCATTGAAATGCGCAAGAAGTGTGCCAAATCAATTTTATTCATCGCGTCAAGCACACTCGATTTACCGGAAAGATGTAACGTGCATAGAAAGGCGAATTTAACCGATGTGAAATGTAACTACGAAACTCGTCGAGCTATCACGAAGTCGAATGCTTCTCCTTCCATCAATATTAACACGCGTCTCGCCGGTGCTGGAATCGAATTCCTTCGTAATGACTTGTCCCTGTGAAATAATTTCCCTATCTACAAGGAACAACTACGGGATACAACGCTGTTGGAAACTGCTGGTATATCTTGGTGAATAGAATACATATCTCGCATAATTGCATGATGATACGTTGACATAGAATTTACTTATTATTTTTTGTAATTTTTCTTAATAATAAGTAAATTCTATGTCAATGTATATATACGCAAAAAATAAATTGCTAGATTTGCTGGATGTATTATTTCGTCGAGAAGAAGTTTATACACGGTTATTGTACAAGAAAGAAATCTAAAATCTTTGCCAGGAATTATTACGTATTATTCTCTTAATTAGAAAGAAATCCATACAATTCCTCAAATGCTCAAATACAACTAATAATAAAACAGTATCAAAGAAAAAAGGGAACACCTCTTAAATTCCTAATTTACCAAAATTCTCAAACTCTCCCCGCTTTTAACAAATAATCTGTCCCAAAGACCATTCTAACCTCAAAGAGATGGAAAATTGCGAGGATCGGATTAAGAAAAAGAGAAAGAGAGAGAGAAAAGAAAAAAGAATCAGACTCGGTGCGAATACAGAAAATGGATAAAGATTCCTTTTTTTTTTTTGATAGAAAAAAATGCGAATCATACGATGATTTTCCACAGATGCGTGAACCAGACCGTTCTGGATTTGATTGCAGGGCTTGTTTGCGAGGATTACGTTCCGCGAACCGTTGTTTGTCGGCGGACCTGGAAACACAACCGGTCTCGAGCGACTTCCGGTGAGAACCGGATTTAAGGGTTGCGTCCGGCATCTGGAAGCCAACGAACACCGTTATCGCTTCCCTCTCGCGCCACAAGGAGATGCTGCGAACGGTTTCGATGTTGGTGAGTACAATTGATTAAATTGTTTTTTTCCGGATTTGGAAGAAATCGTGAATGAAATTAACTGTGATAATATTTTTATTAAATTTGAATAAATTTGAGTAAAGGGGAGGAGAGAACTGAATTGTGGTTATTGTTTCTTAATCACTATAATGATTGTGATGAGTAAATGTGGAAGAATTTGAAAATAGTTTGAATAAGTTTTAATTGTAGATGTAAGTTTGGGAGTAGAATAAAAACTTGATTATTATTTCTTGTATTTTTTATATTCGATGTGATAAAGGAGAGAATGAATTTTGGAAATTGGTTTAAAATTCTTGAATAAAAAGAAAAGGATAAAAGGATTTTTGTATGAAGTTTTAACAAGCTAAAACTTGTTATTTGGTGTAGTTATACACTTGATGTATCAAGGAAAAGATAAATTTTGGAAAGGATTTCTCATTTTAAAGTGAATGTTAAAAGCAATGCTTGTTCTTTGTTGGAGAGAAACGAATTTACAGCTACAAGGGAAATCCGGGTTCTTCTCTAAAGTTTTGTTTGAAACTTTTATGCAATGAGATTTTATTTTTCTCTTAATTTCTAAGAGTAAAGTAACACACTTCTTTAATTACGTGTTACAAATATGAAAAATGCATGAAAATTTTGATCCAAAAATATCTGGTTTATAAGAAAACGATAAAGTAAACTTCTTTTTTTCCCTCGTGAACATCAATTCTTCGCACTTCAACTCACAAAAGTATCCATGAATTCCTAACACAAGCAAAACCATCGGTCAAGACGAAACGTCGATTAAACTTTCTCTCGTTTTCTTATCTCGATTCGTCTTGAAACGGCGTGAGATTCCGGTCTATCGGCTGTCAAATCTCTATTGAACCCCTTCAAGGAAGTACGTGTAATCCCCTGAAAATGTAATCTCATAGAAGATAAGTTGTAAGAGCGTTCTAGATTTCCGAGGGGCAGATAAAGGTTCGACCACTCTCCACGTCTCTATCCTCGAACGAGGATAGTGCAGAATGCATCAAAGGATCAAATTCCTCGGGACCGATGCATTTTTTGGTCGTGGACCAGTGGTCCACTGGTTTAGATTCCTTGCAAATCTTGGAACGTAGGGTGTCGTTGAAAAACGAATCAAAGGGAGAGAATTCTTGAGAATGATATCAAAGCAAATCGTTTCGACGACGTTCTCCATCTGTTTTGTGAATACTCTTGCTGTGGAAAATATTCTTTTATGCTCGGATACTTTGTTTCTCGTGTGTCCAGTTGCAAAAACATGGAAGTGGTTGATGAATTTCTTATTGAAAATCTTAATTATTCCAAGATTCAAAAGAGAGAATTAAGATTTTCAGTATATAAATTTTTCTCTTTCTTTTTCATATGTTTCCCATAAATTTTTTAACAGGGAAAATAATCGTTTTGATAAGATTTCAAATCGGTATGAAAAGTTATATTAAAATATTTAACGAAGAAAAGTAGAATCGATGCTTTTATCTTTTCTTGGATTCACTTTACTCAAACAATAAGAATCTTTTACTCAAAAGATTCTAACTCAAAAATACATTAAATCTGCTCTCTCTCTCTCTCTCTCTCTATATATATATATATATATATATATATATATATATATTACTATATA